GCTGCGGGGCCGGCCGGGGCGGCCAGCACGCCCCAGCCAGCGTGGCTAAAGGAGCCAGGGCAGGCAAGGCAGATACCATCCACAAGTTCATTACATATGACCCATCATCTCAGGGTGGGTTTGTGGTTTGTTTTTTTTCGGTTTTTTTTTTCCCCCGTTTTACCACTGGATAACACTGAGGCCAAGGGCAGAAGCACTTTCCCAGGCAGTCAGGAGGAAATCAGGCAAAGGGAGGGTGCAGCCCGGGGGTTTCACTCTGCCCTGAGATAAACGTCCCAGCCAAGAACAGCCCCTCTCCTCCTGCGACCGCTGACACACACCTCTCACGTGGGATGGCGATGACAGGGCTTGTGTCCCGGACCGGCTGAAGGACGTGTCTAAGAAGTGGCCTGGCCCCCTTGAGCACTTACCCCGGGGTGAAAGGAGTAAGCACTTGCATTTTACTCATCCCCCCTGCCCAGCCCCACCGGGAAGGACCGCATCCCTCAGGCTGCGGGCTGATACCCAGCCACCTTCCCGATGAAGGGCTGCCGTGCCAGCGGTAGAAACACAGACTCCCCACCACTGGGGAGTGGGAACCAGCAGGCTCGTGCCCAGCGCTGCTGGTGCTGGCTGGGTAGGCTCAGGGGGTACCCCAGGTCCCAGGTATTTCACATGGGTTCCCTGGGGGCTCAGGCTGCCAGTCAGCGAGCTGCTTAGCCTCGGTGGCAGTCCCCAGGAGGCATGGGGATGCAGGCTGGGGTGGCACAGGGTTCTGCTGCTGATGGCACAGGGCTGCGCTTCCCACGAGGGAGGCTTTCAGGGCCTTGGTGAATCAGCCTAGCACCTGTCTCCAGCTCTGGGTTGTGTTATAGCTTGTTTAGGCTTGGCTTTGGCCTCTCAACACTCCGGGAAGCGCTGCTCTGCAGGGACCTCCCCGTGCCAGCACCCAGGGCCATCAGCTCACAGCCAAAGAGAGGGCACGGGCATGGGGCAGCAGCCCAGGAGACCGATGGTAAAGCAAACCCCTCCTGCAAGGACCAAGGGCCCAACTAGGGTCAAGGTAGAGGGTGGAAATCACAAAAAAGCCACGAGCCCCTTCCTTCTTTCCTCCCGCAAGCCAAAGAGCTGCTATGTTACGTACTGAGATGGCCTCTGCCAAGCTGGCAGGGGCTCTGGCTGCTGCGGGGTGTCTGGGCACACACCTCATTGCAGCCCCATGGAATTTTAGGGGAGCTCAACAGCCCCTCGCCCAAGGAAAGGATGGTCCTTTAAGGGATGGCGAGGATCCTGGGATGATTTCATGGAGGGCAGCTTTAGCCGCCCGCAAGGCTGAGCTAAGCAAAGGAGAGCAGAGCGGCAGGAAGGCGAGGTGCCCAGCAGCTTTGAGGTGTGATGTTCCCTCCCACGGCTTGAGCCAGCTTTTGGCGGGAGGTCGTTCCCTCTGGCCAGGCGCAGCTCCCTGGGAAGCACAACCAGCCGCCACGCTGCGGGCAGGAGCAGATGCGGAGCCCAGCCAGGCAAGTGGCAGCTCTGGGTTGTGTTGTTTTTTTTTTTTTTTTTCTTTTTCTTTCCCCATCCCTTTCCCAAGCTCACGCTTCATTAGTGAAAGCTGCCGGAGATCTCGGCGCCTGGAGAAAAGCTCAGGCCAACCGCACACACGGGGCCATGCTGTCTTTAGGAGCTGTAGCATCCCGCAGCCTGCCCATCTCCTGCTCTCCATTTCTCTGCCTACCTTGATTTCCAGCCGTCAGTGCTGGTGTCCGACAACGTCAAAGCTAATTTCCCCTGCGATGCAATGCAACGTTTTCCCTGCCTGGTCCCCACAATCTGGCCCCTCGTTGCCAAGTACCATTCAGCTATTGCACATCCCTGGTTTTCGAAGTGGGAGCCGTGCGTAAGCCCGACGCAGCCAGGGAGAGGTTGCTAGAGCTCAGAAACAAGGTGCTGTTTTCACCTAGGTCCTACACAGCATCCATAGCCCATTCCTTTCTCTTCCTCTTCCATCTCTGAGGCTCCAGAGCCCCGGAAAAATCTCCTGCTTGGTACCAGCAACTGCCTGAGCTTCTTCCAGCCCATCCAGGGCTGCAGCAGATGTCTGAGGGGGTAACACTGGAGAAACACGGGAGACACACACGTGTATTCACACGTGGCTCCTTCCCCTTGCACGCGCACGCACACACACACAAGCATCCCAAGTCCATGCCAGCTTGGCCCCAGCTGCTCATCTCTCTTGGGCTGTGAATATCTCTGCCTCCTGGCCTGCCCTGTAGCAGAGGAGAAGGAGATGGGGCTGGAAGGAGGCTCGGCAACCCTCCTCAGAGAAAGCCTTACGATTGCTGGGAACGTTAATGAAATGTTTTCGGCGGTGACCCTGTGATGCGGCGGGGGCTTGAAAGTGAGAGGGAAACGTCAAACGCCGCCGTAGCAAAATCACTGCCTTGGAAAAAGAAAAGACAAAAAAAAAAGAAAAAAAGAAAAAAAGCAAAGCAAGTAATATATCTTGATCCCTTTTCCCCCATAAAACCCTGGGAGGCTGGTGGAAGGAGCGGAAAGACTGAGCTAAGCCTGCAGGAAATTAAACATGAAATGAAAACAAGCTCGAGTTATTCAATTCTCTCATCCCAGGCTCCAATTTCCCATTCCAGGCCACTGATAAAATGGTGTCCAGTTTCAACGCTCAAGGATGAATTCGGGCTCTGTTCTTGTAGGCTGGAAAGCAAAGGGCTGGTGATCATCTCCGGGAAGAGGGGAGAGGGTTTGGCCTTTCGCAGAGGGATGGGGTCCTGGAGACGGACGGAGGGACGGAGGCTGAGCAGAGGGAGGACGACAGCAGGACCGGAGGACAGGGATGGGGAGAACGGATGCTGCGAGGCTGCCAGGGGAGAGCGGGAGTACAAGAAGCTCGGATGCAGCGGGCAGCTCTGGTCTGCATCGGGGCAGCGAGAGGAGGGGGGCTTTGAGCATAGGGCATGGGGCATCAGGCTGGATCCGACCCCGTGGTTGCCAGCAGCCCCTCATCAGACGTGCAGAGAACAGCCTCACCCTCCACCGCTGCGCACGGATGCTGCGAGGCTGCCAGGGGAGAGCGGGAGTACAAGAAGCTCGGATGCAGCGGGCAGCTCTGGTCTGCATCGGGGCAGCGAGAGGAGGGGGGCTTTGAGCATAGGGCATGGGGCATCAGGCTGGATCCGACCCCGTGGTTGCCAGCAGCCCCTCATCAGACGTGCAGAGAACAGCCTCACCCTCCACCGCTGCGCTGGGGTGGGTAAGAGAGAGGGGAAAAAAAATCACCTTTTTCTTTAACTTGGAGGAAGGATGAACGCAGCGATGTAGCCCCCAAGTATCCAGCCACGGCCAGAGTGGTGAGGTCTCGGCTCAGCCCATCCAGCCGTGCCCTGCGCGGGGGACGTGGGGCTTGGTGGCAGGGACAGACGGGCAGCGCCGGATGGGTCCCAGGGTAGCAGCAGCGAGACAGCGAGCAGGAACCCCCTGCTTGCTTTGTCTCAGGCCATTCCTGGCCTCTCTATCCCCCCACGGCACATCAGCTGCGTATGCATATGGATTCAGGTACCAGCATATGGCCAAACGTTTATGGAGACATGAAACATTTTCTGTTCTGTAGATTTTTATAGGGTCGATTTGGTACGTCAGGGCTTATCAAAGCGTTCCCTGCAGGAGTCAGATACACAACATTACCCTCCACTCCCACTCCAATTGTTAACACAGAGATGTAGCCCACAGCCACTGCTTATCCCGGCACCAAGAACCCCACCCTGACCCCAGAAGTCACCTGCACCAACCTCCACTGTCACATCCCCGGCCCGTAGCAGCCTCTCTTGATGAAAGGTGACAGGCAATGAAAGTCAAATGGACTTTTGTTGGGTTTTAGATTTGCTTTTTAAAAGCAGGTGTCTTCTAAGATTGAGGAAATACTTAGGATTTGTTGGGGTTTTTTGCTGCCACATTTGCGTTCTACATTGACTTGCCTGTCCTGTTTTCCCTGGAGCACTGTGGAGGCCTGGAGAAACCCAACTGCGAGATACCAAACAGCCTAAAAAGACTTGGACCAGAAGAGAAAGAACTGCAAAAAGTGGCCCAAAGCCTGTCACAAAGCATTTCGGAGCAGTGGCTCACTGCCAGCCCTCGGAGCATCCCCAGCGCTCCCGGTACCAGCCCTTGGACTGAAGACGCTTCTTTTTCAGCCTAACGCGATGGTTTGCCACAGCCTCCCAGCCCACCACTGGCGTGGGGATTGCAATTCAGGAGCTGCCAGTTTAAACCATTTTGCTCTGCCAGCACCAGTCCAAACCAAGGCATAAATGAGGAGCAGCGGAGCAAAAACCCGTGCCGGAGATCCCACTCCACCTCAGCCGGCCCAAGGAAACCTCCCCACGGCCGTGCCATCCCGGTGAAGCCAAGCACACAAACCCCACGGCGACGGCTTCAGCGGTCACGTCGCAGAGCCAGGCACCACTGCCGGAGCCCGTATGCTCGGCCACCCTGCTCCTGGCTGGGATGTTTGGGTGGGATGCTCCGGCACGGCAACATAGGTGTGCGGGCAGGCCAGCCCGGTGCCTTTGCCAGGCAGGGAAACGGCCGCATATGCCTGGCACATGTTGGCCCCGGGCTGGTGTAGGGCCAGTGCTCTGCTCCCTACCTGCTCTCCACCCCTCTGTGCACAGCGGGGCCTCCTCCGCCCAAAGAGGAACCGGGTCACCACCGGTTAACTTTGAATTTACAGATCAAAGCGGCACGGTCTGGGCCAGCCCTGGGACTGGCCTGCAGCTGGGCTTTGCCAAGAAGAGGTAGAAGAAAAGCAGACAGATGCCTGGGGCATCAAACTTGCTCCAGTAAGATGTTCTTCATGTGCTCAGCTGGAATAACGTTAGGACCTTTTGGCTGGTGCTTTTTTGCACCCACTGAAAATCCTCATAGGGTTTTTAATTCGAGGTGGGGAGGGGGGTTAATATCAGGGTGCTGCTTTGGGTATGGTTAGGGTTGTGGGTGGCCCATGGCAGTGGCATTGCGGGACAGGGCGCTAAACCCTACGCCATCCTCAGTCCCCACGGGGAAGCCAACCCCAGGCGTTGCATCACTCCCGAGCAGACGACAGCGCGTGGGCCAGACCCTCCGCTGCCCACTCGTACCACGGGGCTGCGGGAGACCAACACGAGCTGCCTACACGATGGGGAGGGGGAAACTGAAGCTGAAGAACCTGAAACGACTCTTCCAGGGCAAGCAAGGTCCGCTCAGCCCAGAAACCACAGCCCCTCCAGCTCTTCTCTCCCTGCAGTAGCTTCGAGCTCCGCCGACGCAGGCTGCAAACTCCACCGCCCTCCTGCCCCCCCAAAAACCGTCCTGTCGCCTCACCCCGTGCCAAGCGCCCAGCTTCCCCCCGCTATCCTCCAAAGACATGAGCTTCCCACCTAGCGTCTGGTTTTCCCAGGTGCCTGCCAAGCAGCGGAGCTGCCCCAGGACCTGGGGGGACACACCAAGCTGTTTGTTAGCGATGCCCCCCCGCCAGCCCCAACCTCTGTGAGTCACCGTGTAAAACTCGAAGCAGAACGGAGCGGCTTTAGGACTGTTCCTTTCATGCACTGGCGTGACCTGCACATCCCAGCCCCTGGTGATCGCCTGCATCTCTCAGTGCCTTCAAAGCGGCTCTTGATTGATGTGTTTCCCTGACTCACAAGCTTCAAGAGGCTTTGAAGACACTGGGCCAGGCTCTGATCTGTCTTAGGCTGATGCAAATCAGGAGCAACGGTGCTGACAACAGTGCAATAATCCACCCTGATGTCAAGCCAGGAAAAATAAGAGCAGAAACAGAGTTTTGGTCTTGCCTCTGCCTTGAAGGGATCCGAGCCACACCGTGAAAGAGAGAGCTGCAAAGAAAACGCGGTGTAAAGCAAAGGACAAGCAACGCTGTAAAAAGGCACCTGTCCTTTCCTGCAGCTAAGGAGGGAAGGGCTGTTACGTTTTTTCAAATTTTTTTTCACAGTTAAAAAAAAAATAAGATTGAGAGTTCAGTGAGAAGTGCAAGCTCTCGGCCAACAGCATCGTCAGAGTCAGGATTAGGCTTTGGGGCAAGCCCCAGCCCTGCTGGTTTCAGCCTGGCAGCGGCACGCACGGATGGATTCATGCTGCTCGTCTGCGACTGGATGACGGGACGAGAGCTGCGGGCAGCGCCTGGGTAATGCCGATTTAGGGCTGTGAGGAAGATGGGTTATCCAGCCCAGGGCAAACCAGGCTGTGGGAGGCAAGAGCTGTGAATGCCCCGACTCAGGCAGGACACCAAAAGATGGGCATTGCCTTTTACCTGGGGTGCTGCTGGTCTAGGGGCACAGGTTGGCCTCAGACCCCCCCTCGGCCCAGGGATGCCGCTACCCCGCAGGGCTGGTGTGTGGAGCAGCACCCTGTCCCCGTGCCACGCACAACCACCCGCCTGGTGAAGCCCTGCCTGCCCGTGGGCTCCCCAAGGCTGCCAGGTTCCTAGCCATGGTCAGCAGGTCCCCTTCTTCACAGCCCCCCCTTTCTCGCCCTCTCCCCAGGTGTGGTTTCAGAACCGGCGAGCGAAATGGCGCAAGCGGGAGCGGTTCGGTCAGATGCAACAAGTTCGGACCCACTTCTCCACCGCCTACGAGCTGCCCTTGCTCACCCGTGCCGAGAACTACGCCCAGGTGAGCGCATCCCCCCCCCAGCCCCCTTGCCACGATCAGTCTGTCCCACTGCTTGCTGGACACATCGCCGCTGCTCCCAGTTCCCTCACCCAAGTGATGCTTCGCTTCTCGGGTTTATCAACCTGCCCTCAGATAAGGCTGCAAGAGTGCCGGGGCTATATTGCCAAGCACCGAAGGGCCAGGAGTTATTTAGCCTGTTACGCTGTCCTTCTCCCATCACGGGTGCTGCTGCCCACTAACTTCCCACTGCTTTCAAAAAGGTCCAAAAGCCTATTTTATGCCTAAAAAAATCCCAAAACCCCCAGCAGTTCCCAGGAAGGCTTCCTGTTACCACACCTAGGTTTCCATGCTGCTTCTTTAGGCAGTTGGACAAAAGCGTTTTTTTTCCCTTGGCAAATTCCCCCAGGCATCTCCCAGGGATGGGCTACGGTACCCGCAGCGCACTCCGTGACATTTGGGGATGCTTCCCAAGGGACTTGGGGGGGTTGTGCTCCAAAGGAAGGGTGGGAGCAGCCTTGTTGGGACATCTGGGGCTGCTCCCGGGGTCTGTTGAAACCATTCCTGCCCTGGCCCAGGAGAAGCAGGTGACACAGCTGCCTCCCGGCCTTAGGTTCCCATCCTGGGAAACCTGTCACCAAAGCAGCCTCCTAAACATCGGGCCAGCCCCTGTTTCACAACACCGCCTTCCCACGATGCCAGGGTGGACGGGCATTCGTTAATTAATTCAAAGGTTGGGCTGTGCCCCTGCAAAGCACACTCTCTCCTCCATCCTGCCGACTCCTCTTCCCGCCCCCCCGAATTTGCTCGAGGGTGCAGTTCTGCGGGCATGATGCTCTGAACCCAACTGGTCCTCACAGATCTGCTGGGAGCCTTCCTCCCCTGACATCCCGGCTGTCAGCTACCTCCCCAGCCCACGCCGCACCAAAGCTCCCCCGCAGCCAAGCCAAGGGCGTTTGACCTCTCTCTCCTGCTTGGCATCTCCCCTGAAGCGAACAAGAAGCCCTTATGAAATAGCCGAGAGATGCCAAAGCAGCTTTTCAAGCAGAGGACACTCTCCGCAGCCTTTTCAGCACTCCCTTCTCTTGCTTTTGTAACCTCTAGTGCTCCCTCCCTCCATGCTGCCCTCCTCTCCCAGCCCTAGAGATGAAAAAAAAATAAAAAAGCAATTTACGGGAGGTTTAGAAATCAGAGAAGGCCCAAGGGTGAGAGGTGCAGCAGGGCAGTGGGATGAAGGACCCTTTGCTTTCTTACTCCAGCCAGCTGCTCGCCTCCTCCCCGCTTTCATCCTACAGCACACCTACTCCCAGTAGTAAATACCGAGCCCCGTGCTTTTCTGCTATAATATCATCTTAGGAGTGATGCTGCAGGAGCCCAGACGGCTGCTCGAGGTGGTCTCGCAGGGCTCTGCTTGCGGAAGGGCAGGTGATGCTTCCTCGGTGGGCATCGAGCATCGCTGGGGAGAGGGGTAGGGAAATGCCAGGGGTGGGGGCTGCGGGCAGCTCAGTCGGATGGGCATGGCTGTAGGGTACAAAAAAAAAAAAAGCCCTTACCTAGGCAAAGCTGCCCCGAAGTGGGGCAGGAGGGTGGATCGGCAGTCTCGTAGCATCCCTTTCTGCATGTTCTCTCTGTAGTGGGTAAGCTCACGGAAACGCCGTGGATGACAGCAGGTTTTCTGTGCGGAGAGCATCCCCCCGCTCCAAAAAGTGTTCAGGGTGCAAAAAAAAAACCAAACCCAAAAGAGAAATGGCTGGGAGGGGGAACAGATGAACAGAGAGACGCTATGGCTATAGCAGAGGAGGGGCACAATCGTGCTCCCCGTGCGTTAGTCTCCTGCGCTCCTGCTCCTATCCGGGCTGGCGTACAGATTGCGGAGAAGAGGTGGGGGCTGTGGATGCTGCTGCTGGTGGGGACCAGCAGCCCTGATGTTTCTTTTCCCACTCACCCCCCACCCCCAGATTCAGAACCCCTCCTGGATCGGCAACAACGGAGCTGCCTCCCCCGTGCCCGCCTGCGTCGTTCCCTGCGAGACGGTGCCCTCCTGCATGTCCCCCCATGCTCACCCCCACGCAACCGGCCGCGTCTCCGAGTTTCTCGGCGTCTCCGGTCCCGGCA